CAAAACAGCTTAGGTTTCTGTACCTTGATGACCAAACTATTTGCTCAAGAACACTCTGGAAACGTATTAAAATTTTCCCCACTCTGTAATTTTCAGTATATGAGAAAGTGTATCTCACTAAAGCATTAGCAGTGTCTCCAGTTGTTCTTGCAGAAGAATATCTCTCTGGGAAAGAAGTATGCAAAAATTAAATGTACAGAGAATCTCAAACACTGTTTCAAATAAAGAAAAGTGGTGCGTTACTTTGAAGGAGCTATTTGAACTTTTAACGTGCTGTCACACACGGGGTGACCTAAACTCATAAAACATGAAGTATTTGCCAAATTCCTTTTCCTTGTATCTTTTCCAAAGAAGCAGCTTTGATTTCTAGTGAAGAACTTGAGAGCAGACTGAGAAACACTGAGTAGTTGTGAAAAGACAAGGACAGGAGAAGGAAAAATATGAGGGGAAGAAGAGAGACACTGTATGTCCAGCTAAATACAAGTTAGGTAATGGAAGCCATCACAGAGACACAACGAATACACATTATGGAGTAGTAGAGGAAGAAAGACCTTGCAAATGAACCGGGAGAGGCAATAAGGTCAGGGCATCGGCGTTGAGGAACCATTTGATTGGCTAAGAAGACAGTTTTTTACAGAAATTGGAAAGACCAAAGATGTGTCTGGATTTTGAGATAGGGTTTCTTTCACAACCCCTGGCTGTCCTGGTACTCTCTGTACACCAGGTTGGCCTCAAACTCAAGAGATCTTACTGCCTCTGCCTCCTGAGTACTGAGATTAAAGGCCTGGACCACCACGGCCCAGCTCCAAAGATGTATCTTAATGGGGTCTGGATAAATGAACTAAATGTGTGAGACTTGGCTGGAAAAACACTGGGATCTTCAGATGATCACTCTTCTTTCTTGTAGTATTTCCCTCCTGTCTTCCTCCCTTTCCCTTTCCCTCTACAGTCATTCTTATAAATACCATCTAGTACTAAGGGAAAGTCTCATTGGTCTCCTTTTGCTACTAGTCCCTTCACAGTCTCCTTTGAATATTTTCATATTATTTTGTACCTGCAGGTGTGTGTCAGAGGACAACTTTTGGGAGCAGGCTCTCTCCTTTCATGTGGGATCCAAGGATGGAACTCAGGTTATTCAGGCTTTCCATAAGCTTTTGCCTTCTCTCAATAGTTTCACTGGTCTTTTAATATCCTGAATGTTTTTAGAATTTTGATTCTGTACAGAAAGCATTCTAAGAGGAGCCCACTTCAATACAGGCTATCCATCTGCTTAACTACAGGTGCTTATAAAGGCATGCTAACTTTCCAGACTATTCTTATAACTCCTGTTATAGGGTCAGCACATGCATTACCAACACTGCAGACACTTTGTGCACATTTACTTGTCCATTTCAGGTAGCTTGAAAGGTTTACATTGGTTCCTGCTTGCATGGTACAGCCTTTGTGATACACTGTAACTTCAAACACTTCTGGACATACTAAGAACAAGGATTTGGGCATCCACTGACTCTCACATAAAATAGCAGAGTTTAAACAAAAGCTCTCTGTCTTCCCAAGGAAACACAATAAACCTTGTTATACTATTACTCAACCAGAGCCTGACTCCTAATGACCATATATACACCAGAACAGAAATGAAGTCAACTCCCTCTAGGTCCTCCCTCACCCAAGTGCACTTTTAGGTTTTCATGACGGGCTTTGTTTCTTCATTTACAAATTTCAGGTACAGTATGTTACAGAAAAAATGCCAAACACGCCGGGAGGTGGTGGCGCACGCCTTTAATCCCAGCACTTGGGAGGTAGAGGCAGGCAGATCTCTGTGAGTTCGAGGCCAGGCTGGACTGACAGCCTCAAAAACAATACAGAGAAACCCTGTCTCATAAAACCAAAAAAAAAAAAAAAATGCCAAACACCTCCAAGGTGATGAGTACTTAGCCTGCTGTTGTCCTTAATTAGCACCCTTCTTCATGCTATATAGTGTCTTCGTCGTTTGCCGAGGCACCGACCTTTATATACATTTCTTAATCTCTACCTCCCAATATCCAACTTCAACAGAATGTCTTTCCAGCACAGAACTGTAAGTTAAATGGGCAAGACCTGAAGTCCTTTAGCCTTATTTTGCACTCAAAGCATTAGAAAAAACAAAATCCTATTCTGAACTCTGGCAGCTAATTTACTGCCTTTTGAGATGGCATTTTCCAATATTAGACATCTCTAAGTTTTAGGACTGCACTATTTTTTCATGCTTTATTTCACTGTCCTTCCCCAGTCTAAAACACATAGCATATATGTGACATTTTCTCAACTCTGAATTATGATGGAAGCTCTGCTAGCTTCCTATCAGGTATCTGAGATGGTTCATTATAAATGATCTTTAGAAAAACTGTCAAAGTAACTACTCTAAGGTGTGTCTGTGTTCAGATAAAGGACCTTAACTGAAAGGATGCAAGCTGGATGACCTTCAACTGGATGACCCTCGAAAAGCTACCTTACTCCAGCAACAAAATTAAAGTACAACATCCTACTGCTTTGAGAATGAAGTAACATACTTATAATGCTCAGTACGAGCAAAGCTGCTGATGTATCTTGTTCATTACTTAATTCTAAGTGCCTGATGCAGGCAACAGCAGGCACAGAATAATTCAACCAGCTCAAACTATTGAACAACGGACTCTAGCACAATGCCATGCACTCAATTAAAAGTAGCTAATATTATTCTGTATCTTTCCTTTAGCATGATTTCCAATCTTCTCACCATTTTAACCACTGTATTGAAATTCTCATCTTAAGATGTGGTTCTAGGAGCTAGAGAGATGCCTCAGCAGTTAAGAGCACTAGATGCTATTTCAGAGGTCCTGAGTTCTATTCCTAGCAACCACACGGTGGCTCACAACCACCTGTAGTAGGGTCTGGTGCCCTCTTCTGGCAGAAATCCTTAAATGCAGATAGAGCACTCATACATATAACATCTTTAAAAAAATGTGGTTCTAACAACCACTGTGTATGTAGTATGTGGTGATTTTGCTTTATCTCAATTATTTTAAGTAAGTCTGAATAGATAAGGCCCAAAACCAAAATCCTACAAACTTCTTCCCATTATCACTCTGGGGAATAGCACAGGAGTGATCAATCATCACCCAAGAGAACCAAGGTAACTGTTATCATGGGAAGCCATCACAACCAATACTGAATGGCATTACTATACTATTACTATACTTAATGAACAGTCACATGTGGCCATTACTTATTATATTCTGAATGCATTCATGGTTCATGAGGGAAGGGATGTGTATATGTTCACCTGCTGCTGAGTACACACCCTATGACTGGGGATCTTTATGAAGGATTTTCAGTTCTAGAACAACCTGGGCAGCACAGCAAGGCCCTATCAGTGAGTTTTATAAAAACTTCCAGGACTGAGAGTAAAGAGAGTGAGCAGAAAACAAATGAGAAGTTACTGTGATATAGACTTAGGTCCCACTAGCACATTTTGTGATAGCAGATTCACACGAGCAAATTTGGAGTTAATGACACAACACATGTTAATTCATTTGAAGTCTTTGGGAGAGTATGCACATTGGCTTAACTTGGAATGGTGCTTGTTTTTAGCATTTTTAAGATTGGAGTCTGGCCAGACCTGGTGGTGCACACCTCTAATCCCAGCACTTAGTAGGCAGAGGCAGTCAGGTTTGTCAGTTCCAGAACAGCCAGGGCTACAGAGTAAGACACTGGAGAGAAAAAAATCTGTAGACTTTAGTAAAAAACAGAGTGTGTGTGTGTGGGGGCTGTGTGTGTGTGTGTGTGTGTGAGAGAGAGAGAGAGAGAGAGAGAGAGAGAGAGAGAGAGAGAGAGAGAGAGAGAGAGAGAGAGAGAGAGAAAGATGTAAGGATGAAGCAGTGTGATAAAGGACATTTGCTTTTTTTTTTTTTTTTTTTTTTTTTTTTTTGGAGACAGGGTTTCTCTGTGTAACAGCCATGGCTGTCCTTGAATTTGCTCTGTAGACCAGGATGGCTAGGAACTCAGAGATCCACCATCCTCTGCCTCCCTAGTGCTGGGATTAAAGGTAAGCACCATCATGGCCCAGTAGGACATTTATTTGCACCAACACGAATTTAAGAGTATTTTAAGGGTAGTCGGAGGTAAAGAGGAAAGCAGTTAAGAAAGCTTGAAGTATAAGCCTCAGAGTAATCACTCAGGGAGGGATGTGGAAATCAGACATGGCTGGGTTCCAGATTGAGTGTTACTCAAGCCCAGTGTGTGGCTCGAGCCTCTGAATCTCAGCACCAGGCAGGCAGGATTCCAAGGCCATTGTTAATAAGTGTCAAGACTACACGAGACCCTACATTTACAGTCACTTAGAAAAAATCCCTCCTGAATCCCAGGCATCAGCCTGGGAAGCCAGCATGGGACTGATCAAGACCCCCTGAATCTGGGTGTCAGTGAAGAGGCCTAGGGAATCTATTGAGCCTTGGGCAGCAGATCAGTACCCATCCCAAGTATACACACGGACTTTGGACTCCCATAGAACAATGTGAGGTGCACTCTCACCCTGAACTCTTGGGGAAGGGTCTAGTCCCTGCCCTATATGAAATGACAGACTATGGACACCCCCATGGAGGGCCCCACCCTCCCTGGGGGAATGAGGGGATAACGGGGGGGTTGGGGGGAGGGCACGGGAGGAGGGGAGGGAAAGGGAGAGGGACCTGGAACTGACTTGTGAAGCAACCTTGTTTCTTATCTAAATTTAAACTGGAAAATAAAATAAAATAATAAAAAAAGGAAAAATCCCTCCTACATTCTTCTTGGCCTAATATGGATCGATATTAAGACACACACCCTCCCCCCAAACTAACACTGGCTGGCCTGGAACTCACAGCCTGCCTCCAGAGTCCCGAGATTAGAGTGTCACTACGCCTGGCCAAACTTTGGTAGGCTATATTAACCGCCCACATCGGTGAAAATACGTCAGTAAAAAATAAAACTGCCGCTACACCAACAAATGATTTCAGAGATGCCTTGTTTGCATGCTAATTGGGGGGGGGGCATTCGTTCTATGCCGAGATCCGGGCTGCGAGGGTGTTTCCCAACGCAACCAGACGCTGCTGCAGCACACTTCTTAAGAGGTCGAGCTTGACGCCAGGGATCGGGTAAGGCGAGAATCGGCCTTGGCGGCTTCGACTGCGGCCACCAACGGGCATTCGACGTCTGTCGGTTCGAACGCTGGGTCGCGGTGGCGGCCGAGGTCCTGGCTGATTCGGCTCATGACTAGTAACCAGTAAGCCGTCTCCGGAGACCATCGCCCACGCCACGGCAGACGGGCTGAAATCTCCTTGGGAGGACCGTTGAGCTACCCTGCTGGCTTGATCGCCGGCGGACAGCGACATCGGATTCTGGGCCATCTTCAAACACCGCCCGCAGTGTTTGCTTGACGTACGTCGACCAAACTGGGTCCTGGGCAGCGCCGCAGATCACTCCAGCCCTCGTTGGACGCAAACGTTACCGACCCCAGCCGCCATTTTTAGCGCAACGGCGGAAGGAGCAGCCGCCGGAAACGGGCGCGTCTCCCGCGCGCATGCGTCGCCTTCCTGCGCTTGCGCGCGACGGGCGTTTACGTCGTGACGTCTGAACGAGAGGACGCGGGTGTGTCTGAGAGTGCGCAGTAGGGTCGGTCGGTCGGCCGCCGGCAGTCAGGCTAGGCCCGAGGCTGGAAGCTACGCGGAGATGGGGGCGGCGGCCGCGGAGGCCGACCGCACTCTGTTCGTGGGCAACCTGGAGACGAAGGTGACGGAGGAGCTCCTCTTCGAGCTGTTCCACCAGGTAAGGGGCGGGCACGCTCTTAGGGCGGCTGGGGCATTCAGGGGCCCAGCCAAGGAGCGGATCGCGCCAGGCCGGAACTCCGGGACGTTCGGGCCAAAAGTGACGTCAGATGGTGTGCGAGTCTGCGGCTCCGTCCCGGTGAAGGTCCAGTGACCGAGGCGGAACGTTCCCCTAAGCATTGCTTCCCCTTCCCCGCGTACCTCGCCATCCCTTTGAGTTAATTGGCCTTTGCTGCGTCTCACATGTTTCCGCTTCCCCCTCTCTGTCTCTTTCCTCTTAACCTGCATAGGAAATTGCAGACATTAAAGTGTTTTTAAAACTGGGTAAGCTTACGAAGGAAGGCAGGATTGGCGTGTTTATCTAAAAAGTCCGAAAATTTTGAACTGTGCTGTCTTTTCCTGCTTCATGACTCAATAGCTGGTTATATTTGATCAGTCAATGCCGGTCAATTTTTTTTTTTTTTAGTCGAAGAGAATACACTTTGTCTTGTAAATGTTCGTTTCCGTGCGGTGGGGAAATGATAGCTGTTGGTGGTTGTGTGTTTTTCTTTTCTTTTTGGAAGACATCACACAGTAATGTGAGATGTAGATACACTATCGTGCGTTCTGCTCTTTGTAAATGTTATAAGTAACACAGTAAAAACTTTCCCCAAATCTCCATTTTAGGTAGAACTAGAATTGGTATAGTTAGGAAAAGTTGGAGGGGGTCCTTGGATGTGGGACCATGGCGAATTCCATGGCAGGAGAGGTTGACGGGGGAAGAGGGGGCGATAAACAGGCCAAGCAGACAGCTTCAGTGATTAAGTTTTATTAGAAAGGGGAAGGAAAGAGAAAACAGGTAACGAGACACAGAGAGAGGGTAGAAGGGAAGAGGGAGACAGGAAAAGTTCTGTCTGCCCTGGAAAAGAGCAGAAAGAGAAGAGAGCGCAGAGAGAGAAGAGCCGGACAAGGAGCCTAACGAGAGTGTAAGTGGGCGGAGGTCCTTTTTAAAGGGGTCCTTTGCATTAATACTCATGAAACCCTGGGCTAACTAGAGTGCTTTTGTGAGTTGCCAGTGACAGGGGCAGGCCAGCATAATGCCTGAATACCAACAGCTATCCTTACTAAAAAGGGAAGCAGATGAGTAATGTCCAGCCCTAGTCAGGATTTTTTTTTTTTTTTCTCTGTGAATCCCTGGCTGTCCTGGAACTCGCTCTGTAGACCAGGCTAGCCTCGAACTCACCGAGATCTGCCTGCCTCTGCCTCCTGAGTACTGGGATTTAAACTCATGCACCACCACTGTCCGCTGACATTTTGTTTTTAATGAGGTTTTGATTACATACCTTTTTTTAAAACTTTGTGTTCTCTTCTTTATAGTGTTTGAGACAGAAAGGCAGTCTCTGTAGCTTTGGTAGCCTGGGACTCCGAGGCTGACTTTGAACCGATCCTCCTGCCTGCGCCTCTTGACTGCTGACAATACAGGCATGTGCCACCGTAACAGGCTTGCATTCTCATTTATTTCTGAAATTTAAGTATTTTCCTGAAATTGCCTTAAGTTTGAATGCTTTTCTTTCCAGGCTGGGCCAGTAATAAAGGTGAAAATCCCCAAAGATAAAGATGGCAAACTGAAGCAGTTTGCATTTGTGAATTTCAAGCACGAAGTGTCTGTTCCATATGCCATGAACCTTCTCAATGGAATCAAACTTTTCGGGAGACCTATCAAAATTCAGTTTAGATCAGGTAATGGCTCAGATACAGTGGTGATCGGGAGAGGGTTTTTTTTTTTTTCTTTTGCTCTTGCTTTCTATTTTACTATTCCAGTTTGTTGTTGTTGTTTTTTTTTGTTTGTTTGTTTTGTTTTTTGGTTTTTTTTGTTTTGTTTTTTGTTTTTGAGACAGGGTTCCAGGTATTTTAGGCTAGCTTCAAACTCGCTGTGTAGTCAAATCTGGCCTTGAACTTTTGATCCTCCTGCTTCTTTCCCCCTGGGATTATAGGTGTCAGCTCCATACCAAACTTGTATTTTAAAGATTGCTGTTTCCCAGCGTGCTTTGTGATTTACAAATACCGATTTTGTTGCTGCTAGTCTTTGAGGCTATCATAAGGCTTTCCATCCATCCACTCATGTAATATAGTATGGAGATCAGAATAGCATGACCAGATTGGTTGTTTCTGCATTATATAATATCTTGTTTGGAATGTTTTCTGGTATTACCTACTTAAAAACCTGTTAGGTAGTCTATAGCAATTTGAGTGCTGTTTTTTTTTTTGTTTGTTGGTTTGGTTTGGTTTTTGGTTTGTTTAGTTTGAGGGGGATTGGTGTTGCTTTTGAGCTGTTTATCTCTTTTTGGGGTAATTTAGACAGGATGAGAAATTTCAAATTGCTTTGGCCTTTTTGGTTTTCAATTCGAATTTTTGAAATTACCTCATTTTAGGAAGTAGTCACGCCTCTCAGGATGCCAGTGTGTCATATCCCCAGCATCATGTTGGAAATTTAAGCCCTACCTCCACATCTCCTAACAGGTACTGTTTCTCACTCACTATTAAAGTCATTTATCAGGAAGTTTCTGACCTCAGAATGCACTAGTAAATGGCTCCCTTCATAACACCCTGCTGCTTTGCTGCTGCTGTGCTGGATCAGTGCCATGCCTCTGCTTTCTAAGGAGACCGGAAGCACATGGGTTCTGTGGTTCTATTGCTCTAAGTGAAATGCAGCTGTAGTCATGTGTGTTTGTAAGGAATTGAAACAAAAAATAGTTATCATAATGGTTAGTAACTTCATTGCCAATATTGTTTTGTTTTTCTTGCTGTTTAAAGGTACTGATTAGTGAATTATGACTACTGGGCTGAGTTAATAGAACCGGAGTGTAGACCTACCTTTACCAATTGTACAGTCTTTAGCCTCATTTCTCTGTTCCTATACTTTGTAAAGAAAGTTAAATAATATGGTCTCTGAAGGTTAGAGATAATACTACATTTTTTTTTTGGGGGGGGGTTTCGAGACAGGGTTTGTCTGTGGCTTTGGAGGTTGTCCTGGAACTCGCTTGGTAGTCCAGGCTGGTCTCGAACTCACAGAGATCCGCCTGCCTCTGCCTCCTGCGTGCTGGGATTAAAGGCGTGCGCCACCAATGCCCGGCGATAATACTACATTTACCTAACTCAGCTTTATTTGTTGGATGCTGATTTTGTTGTTGTTTGCCACTATATGCCCATTCATGAAGGCCTTTCATTTAAGAACTGAACACATACCTGTTATATCAAGTGCCTCACTAAATACATTCAGTGTATAATCTCAGTTACTTAGAAGCAACTATGAAATAGGATTTATTTATCTCTACTTTTTGGTGCAGAAGGTATGGAATGGAAGACAACTTGGCCAAATTTGAGCTGTTTGTAAGCAGTGTGTGGAGACACTACCTGTTTCTATGATCAAGTCACAATATTACATGTTGCCAAGTGGAATTTTAAATCTAGATGAAGACATGCACTTTGTGGCTGCCTGTTTAATTACTATAATTAGTTCTCTAGAGCAGGAGAAGAAAGTGCTTTTTAACAGCTGGAGACGATGCAGATGGATGAGGAACTGAATGAAGCCAGTGCAGTGAAGGCGTAGGCATTTTGATGAAGCACATAAAAGCTGAGTTAGCGTCTCGTAGGGCTACAGTCAAATTTGGGGGGATTTTATTCTAAACGGGAAGAAAGCATAAAATATATTAAGTAAAATGATGAAAGGAAGTTACAAGTTTAAAGAGTTACTTGATTGCAGTGGGAGAGGAATGTGTTAGAAGAGACAATGGTGAAAGAAATAACCATTAGGAAGCTATTGGCAAGCGACCTTGTGGGGCTTTTGGATCAAAGTTGATTTGGATTAAGGCATTGCCAGAGCCAGAGAGAATTGGATGGCCGCTGTGAAGAGAAATGTTGGAAGGACAAATTATAAAAAGCAGTAGTACAAAAACATTGCTCTCCCTGTATCCTTTTTTGCCAGCTGAAATCATTTAGTGGTGTTTAAACACTTACCAGTTGGCACTCAAAATGTCCTCTTCAGCCGCTTTCATAAACAGTCAAAGGTAGTTAAATGGAACAAAGATCTTCCCTTTAGGATTTCTTGGGAGGATTGAGTAGGTATACTAGTCATTTTTTTTTAACTTTAATCATAGGCTAGGGTGGATTATTTTAATACTCTGGCATAAAGTAAATTGTGCTTTTTGCCCCTCTTAGAATCTGGAATTTGCTCTGAGATACCCCCCAGCCTCCCCCCCAGAAACTAAAGGAGAGCCCCTTGTTTTTCCTACCTCCACTGAGTCTAATTAACAGTAAGACGACAAAACAAATGCTTATTTGTCCAAACCTTTTCACTTTAATATCTCAGAAATGCCTACCTAATTGCTCAAGTTAAAATAAAAATTTAAATTTATAGTTTCTTTACTTGGTTTCTTTCATTTATAACTAGGGGGTAAAATCTTAATATGAATGATGGCAATAGCTTAAGGACCAATACATTTTTTTCTGTAGAGTCAAGTAGTTAATTCTTTAGATGTGTGCTAACCCTGTTTTCTTTGTGTCTGCCGTTAGCAGTAAAGGGAGCCGTAGATAACCCAAGAGGAAAACAGTACTGTGTTTCCAGAAAATGTCATGTTACACAACTGTATTTGGCTCCTGGGCCCCTAGTTTGATTTCTCTAACTAGCTTTTCCCACAGTTAGGAAATCATATTCCTCACTTCTTACTTTAAATGTCATCTTTTCAGAAAGACTGTCCTGACGAGCCATCCTAAAGTAGAATGAATGCCCTTTGTTTCCCCCAGCTATTTCAGTCAAATAACACATAGAAACTGCGTATCTTAATCGTTTTCATCATTGAGAACTGTCTCGCTCATGACTGGTTTCAGTGTTTGTTGAATGGTGATCACTCACTTATCATTCTTGCTTTCTCTTTGCAGCTATGAAAGGGCGGTGGGTAACATGACTCCATCAGCACAGATGGTCCAGCGGTCCTTCTCTTCTCCAGAAGATTATCAGCGGCAAGCAGTGGTAGGCAGGTTTTTTTTTTTTTCCCAATTGAGTTGCTAAGACAAAGTCATACTAGGATTAAAGTATTCCCGTTGCATCTGATAACTTTTCATTCTCAGTTTTATTACTTATGTCCTTTAGGCATAAATTAGCTGTTTTTATTTTAATTCTTCATACTTTGTCAAATATAACATGATCTTATAGTTTTAATAATTTAACATGTGTCTTTAGACCAACTTGCCTGAAGTGGTTTTTGTAAAGCCATGAGACCTACCCTAAAACTCATATCAGCTTGTGTGTGTGTGTGTGTGTGTGTGTGTGTGTGTGTGTGTGTGTGTGTGTTTCCTTTCTTTTTTGAGACATGCTGGGTATCCTGGAGCTGTATATAGACCAGGCTGCCTTTGAACTCACAGAGATATGCCTGCCTCTGCCTCTGGAGTGCTGGGTTTAAAAGCATGTGCCACTATGTCCAGCATTTGTCATCACCTCTTAACAGCTTCTAAGATGCAGGACCTATGTTTGCTTCTGTAGCTGTCTCAGAACCCATTCTGGATTCTGCTGTGCACTTCTTCCTTGAAATGGTTCCTTTTTGTTCTATTCATATTGTTATCACTCAGATTGTATTCTACCTTCACAGATATCTTCCTAATGCTAGTGAAGGGTCTAGGTGTTTGTGTGTTTGTTACAGTGATTCATACTATAGTCATTTGAGTGATGTCTTATATTCTTGGAAGGAAATAGTGTATGTATGTGTTCAAGTATCTGTAAGTAGACACTCAAGATGAATGGAATTTTAGTAATAGATCATATGAAGTCACATTCTGCTTGGGATGCATCTGGGAAAGGATGATTTTGATTTTCCTTTATTCTGTGTATCATTGACTGACTAAATAATGCATTGGCTTTGCTATTAAGAAGTACTTAACAGTTAATATTTCATTTTTTTCTTTTCTCAGATGAACAATGTTTTCAGACAGATGTCATATGCTGGGAAATTTGGTTCTCCGCATGCAGATCAGTCAGGATTTTCTCCACCAGTTCAATCACACGGTCATACCTTTAACCAGTCTTCCAGCTCCCAGTGGCGCCAAGATGCACTGTCATTACAGCGTAAAAGACAGAATTCTCACCCCTACCTAGCAGATAGACACTATAGCCGTGAGCAGCGGTACTCTGATCATGGGTCTGACTATCATTACAGAGGAGGCCGAGAGGATTTCTACTATGATGACAGGAACCATGATGGCTGGAGCCATGACTATGATAACAGAAGGGACAGTAGTAGAGGTGGGAAATGGCCTTCATCTCGACATTAACAAGCATTCCAAGGACATTGTTTACAGGGCCATTTTAGGCCCTTTTAATGAAGTTGTTCTGGAAATATTTCTAAAAACTGTACAGAGTAGCCCCACAGTTTTCCACCTATCTTTGAAAAAAGATTTTTTAAGCCTAGCAGCAGTCTCATAGAGAACTGAGAACTGTGACTCCATGTGTGTTATTTTGATTACCTTACCTCAGGGTTTCTGAAGAGGAAGGATTTTATACAAAAGAATGTGCCATCATTCCAGTCATTTCAGCTAGGAAAGATGAACTGTGTAGATGGGTTGTATTATAAAGCAAATATTTTAATTATCTCACCTTTTTGTGTTGCAAGAAATTTCTTGGTAATGAACTGGTGTATGTAGTAGGAAACATCCAAGTTGGTACCCTGAAATGGCTATCTGCATTTTGCTAATAAATGAGAAAATAGAACTCTCAGTAATCCATTTTATTAACAGTTTCTTTAAACAGGTAATTTGTTTGGGAATGAATCATATTTTCTAACTCAGAATTTAAGTACAAATTCTGTGGTATGCTCTTGAATTTTATCACAAACATACATTATAAATCTATACTAGTTCATTCGAAGAACTTTAAAATTCTTTCATTAAATTATATTTGATGTATGACTAGTCACTCAGGAAGTTAAATATCTACATGTGTATTTTTACATAAAAAGACAGTGTTGATGAAAATTCTTTTTAGAGGAACAACGATGTTAACACATAGATAAAATGGCAAAATGTTTCACTGGAAGGATTATAATTTTGAGATTTTGTTTAACAAAGCTTCCATGTTTCAAGATCCTGTTGTTTGTTCACTGCAAATCATTTTTAAGAATTTATTATGAAAGATGGATCCTCTTTATACCACAGCATTTATACTGTTTTTTACTATATTAAATACATAAAAAGAGAATGTGTCTCTTTATTTGGCATCACTGACATCAGGGGTACCTAGTAACTTAGCAGTGTACTTTAAGTCTTGTCTGTTCACATTTTGGTTGGTAAAGATTGTCCATCTTACAGCATCTTCTGTAGATTTGCCTTGATGCATGGCTAGACTTCTTCTATCAACATAGATTATGGTATACAGCACTGTGAACATTATTAGTTCCTTTGCTTTCTATGCCCAGATACTCCAAGTGTCCAGGCTGTGTCCCCACTTGGCATAGGTTAAAGTTTTGTTTTTTTAAATAAACTGTATGCTTAAGCAGTTTTATTTCTAATATGCCTGATATTTCTAGGTATCTACTTGGAGATTTATTATTTTATTGCAATTTATCTAGTTTGGACTAAGTCATGTTGATCCACAGGTGATCATAGTAATCTTGGTTTAATGCCTTTTGGGGAGCAAGCCTTGGAAGATCAGTGACTTTCCTTTTAGTTTTACCCTGTGAACCAATAAACTAAATATCTGTACTTTGTAAACAGTCAGGGCAAGAGAGCTTTAGGATTCAATATAGACAAAAGTTGAAAGCTCCATTACTATAACCTAGGAACCTGTCTTTTAAAGAGAATTAATATACTTTAGTGTGTAGGGTGTACTCTAAAATCTCAAGAGTGTACAGCAGGGTTGGGGAAGCTGTTCAGCCATAGCATTCCTATTTATTTCTCAGGTTTTTTTTTGTTTTTTTTTTTTAAGTCAATGGATGGTCTGTATCTGTGACATTAAAATTAGCATAGCAGAGCTGAGTGATAGAAGGAGGAATTTATTCCATGAATGCAAATTTACACAGTTTTGATTGCTGATGTACTAATATGCTGGCCAACATCTGATGTTGGGTCTGAAGTCACCATGGGTCAGTCAGACTTGGTTGAGAAGGACAACTGAAGAGCTAAACTGAACAGGAAGACACTAGAAAAGGCTAAAAAGCTAAATTGAGGTTTCATTGTCTAGTTCTTAGCTATAGAGCTGCACAGTTCTGTGCCCCATGTGATAGGAACTAGAAAATCTACAACTGTGTGCCCATGTTGAGCTAAGCCAATCAGTAAGCAATGTATGAAATGCCACAATGCCTATTATCTTTCAGTGTCTTCCAGATGCTAAGAGTCCGCTACTTTTCTTTTAGTTAACCCTTTTTTTTCAGCTGTGACAAAATACCTGACAGAAATAGAGGAAGAAATTTTATTTTGATGTATATTTCTAGGGTAATTTTCATCTATCACAATAGAAGGCATAGCCCATCAGGCAGTTTATCTTTTTGCTCGTCTGTTACAGAGTAGAAGGCATGGTAGAATGGGTCCATAGCAGCAGGAATGTGACAGCTGCTTGTTTACTTCATGACCATAGCATAGGGCCAAGAAGGAATTTCCAAGGACCCCTGGCTCCCTCGTAGCATAATTCCTTCAGCTAGACCACCTAAAGGTTCCTAGTCCCAACAGTGCCACTAGCTAGAGATGAGTGTCCAAACACTAGAGCCTGTAGGTAACATTAGACATCTTAACTACATCTTGTTGATGACAGAACTAATTTTTGAGAATGACTCAAAGAACTAGAGTCCCAGAAACTCAGCAGCCACCCGAGCTGCCCTGAACCAGTAGCTTTCAGGTTCTTGTCTCAGGAATTCAAAAGATGAAACTCAGAGGTCAAAGGGGGTAAGTTTTACAAGTTTATTACAGATTGAGAGGGGGGAGCTTTAGTCAGGGAAAGAATGCAGAGCTCCTGGATAGCAGAAGGTGTCCCAGGAAGTAAGAGTACAAAGCTGTTAGTGTGGGTACTTTTTAAAGGACTATGACAGCAACTAGGTGAGCCATCTAGATGCCTTATCCTGGTTTCATTTACATTCTGGCCTTCAGGCACAGGTGCTCATTTAGGGGAAACAGGAACCACATTTCTTTTCTGGTATTGACCTCAGCAAGGGCATTCTGAGAACTGCTGCTTTGGGGTCCCTATCCTACCTGGCCAGTTTATATCTCCTGTTCTCATCATAAACATTTCTGTTTGGTCAACAGCGTTGATACTGTAACTTCATTGAAGAGTAACTTCCTAGCATTGAGCCGAAGTTCTGGTAAAGACTCAGGCTTCTTGAGGCCACCCTCAATTCAGACAGGAGCCAGAAACTCCCAAGCCACTCAGATCTGACCAATTGACTACAGAGTTCAGGGGTTTCATTATACCTTAAGCGTTGATAGTTTACTACAAAGACTCAATTCAGGAAAGAGCCATATAGAACGATACAGTTTTACTATAGAAAAAAGATAAAAATGACAAAGCAGTCCCAAAGGAGATGATGCATAGGAAAAGAGCAGGGAAGTTCTTAGAAGCGAAACTTCCATGTTTTCACCCCTTGCCTTAGGTTAGATCACCTTCCTAGCAAAGCAAAGCATCATGGTCAGCCAGGAAACATGTCTGAGCTTTATTGTCCGTTCAGAAATTTTATGGGAGTGCAGGCAAGATGGCTCAGCAGAAAACACACGTGCTGAGAAAGCCTGGCAAGCAGTCTCATTCTCCAGGAGAGAATATTTGACCAGAGAGTTCTCCCGACTTCCACACAGATCTCATGGCACAAACACACTGAAACATACACACTAAGAAAGTTTGTACATTTTCCAGGTTGTATTGAAGTTCCATTGAGTAGTCATCATAATTGAGATTTTGGCTATGTGATCGAACCCAGTCTTGCTTCTTTCTCATAAGGTTCAGACTACTGTGCAGTTCAAAGCCCCAACCCTTTGATCACATGGTTGGCCTTTGCATGCTGACCTGGTCCTATCCTGAAGGTCCCACCTTGGGTCACCCCTGTAGCATAAATTTTCATGGTTCACCATTTGAAGATAATGAAGATACTGCTACAACTTAAGAAATTCCAAGAATTTAGACTTTCTCCCAGAGTTAGGAACAAAAGCCCCAATTCTTTACTATTCAAAACCAACTCTAAATATAGGAGGAACCTTCTGGAAACCATCATTCTATCTTAGCTAAGCTGACAGCACAAAGCTACCCATGGTACCATCAAATCTCTCTTCCATACCCTATTGAGAAAATACTGGAGACAGGTTGTGGTGGTGCGCCCCTTTAATCCCAGCACTCAGGAGGCAGAGGCAGGTAGATTTCTGTGAGTTTGAGGCCAGCCTAATCTACAGAGTGAGTTCCAGGATAGCTAGGGTTACACAGAGAGACTCTGGAAAAAGCAAACAAATACTGCTGGGCAGCTTTCCCACTTCTTGTTGTCTCTCTCCCACCACTAGCACACAGGCTACCTCCAGCGCTGTCATTCTGTATCTCTTAGACTTGGTTTTCAAGTGCTACAGATAGTTTACATAGTCTCAAAAATTTGAACCCATAAAAGTGGAGAGTGGGTATTAACGGTAGGGTATTGACAGGGAAAGGGGAGATACTGCTTGCTGTTGTAATTTTGTTCCCCATTGCTGTGATAAGATACTTAGAAGTAACTTCAAGGAGAAAGGTTTTATTTTAGCTTACAATTCCAGGTTAAAGTTCATCTTTGTAAGGAAGTCAACGGCAGCGGGAACTTGAAGCAGTCATGTTATATCCCCAGTTAAGAGCAGGGAACCATGAATTAAGCATTTCTCTGCTCTTACACCGACCAGAATTTCTTGCCTAGGGAATGGTGTCACCTACACTGAGCAGGACTTCTCACTTAATGTAATCAAGATAATTTACCAAAAAGATGTCCATGGCCTATTGTGATCTAGACAGGCAATCCTTCAATGAGATTTCCTTCTGAGGTCGTTCTAGATTGTGTCAAGTTGATAAAACTAAGCAGAGGGCTAGAGAAATGACTTGGTTGTTAAAAGGTATGTGCTACCCTTCCAGAGGACTGGAGTTTGGCTCTCAACACCTATATTAGGCAGCCCACAACCATCTGTAACTACAGTGCCTGGGGATTTGACAACCTCTTCTGGCCTCTATGAGTACTCGCACACATTTGGCACACACATTCATAAATGTAAAAATGCATCTTAAAAATGAAAACCCCAGACCCTAATCATCACAGGACAACAAGTTTCAATTAGAGGAATAATTCTTACTGATCTCTTGCTTAGTGTGATGAGTATTATTATTATTAATGTGTATTTTAAAAGTGTTTCATTACAAAGAAATAAGTATTTGAGATGAAGGCAATAGATTTGCTAGTTATCCCTGTTATTTCATCCTACAATATATACATACAACAAAACACCAAAATACAGCATATAAATGCATTCTTATTTAGCTTGAGTGTTGGTGTGTGTGTGTATACACACACATATATGTTGTTTTTTGTTGTATTTTGTTTTGTTTTTGATTTTCAAGACAGGGGTTCTCTGTGTAGCTTTGGAGCCTGTCCTGGAACTCACTCTGTAGACCTAGCTGGCCTTGAACTCACAGAGATCCGCCTGCCTCTGCCTCCCAAGTGCTGGGATTAAAGATATGTGCCACCACTGCTTGACTGAGTGTTGTTATATTAATTTGTAAATGTGAATTCCTTTTTTAGAAACTAGCATTTATTGTTACTAAGCCACTTTTCTTGGTTTTATAGAAGACAAAATTCAAACCTTCTCAAAGATTAAATAGTGAGTGGAGCCCAATTCATAGCTAATCAGTTTAATTCCAGAAACCAGGTTCTTTGCTTCCATGCTTACTTTAATTAAGTGTAACAGCATAAGAGGAGATGTAGTTTGTAATGAGTCTTCCTCAGTCCTGCCAGCTAGCTCCCCAATAATGACACAGAGACTTAGTATTAATTATGAAAGCTTGACCTATAGTTTAGGCTTGTTCCTAACTAGTTCTTATAACTTAAATTAACCCATTTTATTAATCTATGTCCTGCCATGTGGTTTGGTTACCTCTTTTTCATTCTGTACCTCTGACTTGTTCTTGGTCTCCTGTTGTCTCCCTGGTGTCTATATGGCATAATCCTAGCACCTACATTCCTCCTTTTCTTTCTCTCTCTCCCTGAGGATCCTACTTATCTCTCCTGCCCAACTATTGGCCATTAAGCTCTTTATTAAAACAATCACAGCAACACATCTCCACACAGTGTTAAAAATAATCCCATAATAGTAGATGATTTTGATATTATGGCTTGATATTTGAAACTTGTTTTCCTTTTTGAGATAGGGTCTCATATAATCCAGGCTGGCCTAGAACTCCCTACATGGCCACCGGTGGCCTTGAACTCATGATTCTCCTGCCTCCATTTCCCAAGAGTTGAGATTACAAGTGAGAGCCATCACTCCTGTTTTACTTTTGTAAAAATTGTGGGCCAGAAAGATAGTTCAGTGGGTAAAGCACTTGTTTCATAAGCCTAATGTACTGAGTTCAGTTCTCTAGAATCCATATAAAAAAGCTGGATGTGTTGCAGGCACACACCTTTAATCCCAGCACTCGGGAGACAGAGGCAGAGAGAGAGAGAAGCAGAGAGAGGCAGAGGCAGGCGGATTTGAGTTTGAGCTCAGCCAGCTCTACAGAGTGAGTACCAAGACAGCCAGGGCTACACAGAAAAAAATCTGCCTCGACCCCTCCTCCCCCACACACACCAAAACAAAAAAAGCTGGTTGTAGTGGCATGCATCTGTAATCCCAGCATTCCTTCAGTGAAATGGGAGGCAGAAGCAGGAGAGTTTCCTGACAGATCAAAGGTCAGCTTGCCTGGAATATATATATAGGAAGGCAGAAACAGTAAGAGAGACTGTGTCTCCAAATAAGGTGGAAGGGAGAGAGAATCGACTCCGGAAACTTGTCCTCCAACTTCCAGAGGCTATGGCGCATACGTTTGCACCCTTCCCCACATACCATATATACAAACACTAACAACAACAACAAAATAAAAAATTGAGGTTGTTTGATCTTGTAATTTTCAATATTTTTCTCTCTAAATGATAATAGAAAAGGTGGCAGGGATTTAACTACTTATGTAACTATTATAGTTTGGGTCCCAACAAATGAAATGCAAAATTAAATCATTGTAATATTTTTGTTAATTCTGATTTTGATATATTGATATTCCATTTTAAATATGACTAGCTATGTTCTTTTTAAAGTTTTTAATCTCTTAGAACAAAGAATGTACTTGCATGGTTCAAAACCAAAAACTATATGTTGAGAAATAATCACCCCACTCTTGCCTCCTGTAACCTGCGCTTGCCATTCTCCAGCAAGTAATCAGTTTGTTAGTTGAGTGGCATTCCAGTGTTTCTTTGTTTTCATTTCTTCTCTCATTGCACTTGCTCGTTTTTTTTTTTTTTTTTGTGCTAAACAGCATAAACACTGAGTTGTCATTATTTGGACGAAATTTTTGTGTAAAGAATGACCTTCAGATTTGAATAATTAAAACATCTTTATAAGCCTTATTGCTTTATTTTGACATCAGTGTACATTATACTTTCTTTTGGGAAAACAGTAAGTATAATATTCTCAAATGTTGCTAACATTTCTTTGTCTGAGAAACAAGAGGGTGAGCTAGCTCCTGGTGACAAGGACAAAGGCTTTTTCCCATTTGTTCCATTATTTGCTACTAGCACATTTTACAGAAGGGAAAGGAGTCACTTCCTTACCTATGAAGGAAACAGCTCCAAATCAAAAATAAAGGACTCTAACTTTAGAAATTAAAACTACCTTAGACTCACCAGTCTCTGCTTCCTGAGTGTGGATGCAACTTGAGCATCTTCCTCAGGCTCCTGATGGCAGGACCTCACTGCTTGAAAGGCTATATTAGTGAACTGTGAGCTGACATACCCTGCCCCTTACAAGTCCCCCAAACCCTCCAAACAAACAAACACACAGACCCCTACTTTAATATGCTGAGTACTTCTTGTTTCTGGTATCATGAACATCAACTAACTTGTCATTTGTGTTGGCTTTCCTTTAGAGTAACAAAGTACCTGAGATAATCAACTGAGGAAAAAGAATGGTTTGCTTCGGCACACTGTTTTAGAGGTTTAAATCCATGGTTTGGTGGAGTCGCTGCTTTTGAGCCAGTGGTAGGGTGATGTATGTTAGCACGAAGCATGCAGTGGAACCAAGCTCCCACTCATGGCAGGGATGAAACAGCAGAAGGAAGGAGGGAGGTCTCACTATTCCCTTCTAGGCCATGCTTCTAATGACCTATCATGAGGTCCCACCTTTGAAAGTTTACATAAGCTCTCAACACAATGCTGGACCAAGCCTTTAACACTCCGGCCTTTGACAGACTTGCAGATCCAAATTCTAACAACTTCGTAGTCCAGTGTTCTATATGTGCTAAGTACGTGGTATGTGTTTGTTAAACTGAACTGATATAAAATACACTTCAGATTTAATAAAAAAAAAAACACTGGCCATTGTATAAAAGGTGTGCTCAGCTTATTTTATTTTTAATAATTGATGTAGGGGAGATACGAATTAAAAAAATTTCTGGAGCCAAATATGTTACCTCATAACTGTAGTCCATGAACATGGGAGGCAGAAAGACTGCCATACGTTTGAGACCAGCGTAGACTATATAATGAGTGAGACCCTGTTTCAAACAAAGATAAAACAGACAGAACCCCAACTGTTGCTGTAGCAAAACAGGGATAGTGCATGCAACTTATGGGCCATGTCTCCTTTCCCCTAGAAAAGGATCTGTCTCACACTTCACAATATTGTAGCCTTTGTCACATGGCTTGCTACAGATTCTAAAAATGGCCATTAGCACACCTACCCACTCTCCTTAGTTTGGCCAAACTGTATAAATCCAAATCCACTTTCCTTTATCATTTTCTGTTTTACAATTTCTTTAGAATTTAGGGGAAATGAGTGTTTTATTTATGGTAACAACACTAAATCTGTACTTAGCATTGTATCAGGATCATATTACTATAGCTGAATAAACACAAGTTTCCAAAAAGCCCCACATCATTTCTGTTTATTTTTGAGATGGTTTCCTATGGCCTATTTACATAGCTGTAATTTTAACCATTTTTGTTCAAAAAAATGTGGACATGGCTTTTTAGGATATAAGCTGTTACATACCATCACCAAAGATGTAATTAAAAAAAAAAAGATCTATTTTATTTGTGCTCTCCCCGTGTGAGAGTGAGTGAGTGAGTGTGTGTGTGTGTGTGTGTGTGGTATGTTTTTACTGGTGCACATAAAGGCCTGAAGAGGAAAACACATCCCATGGAGCTAGGGTTATATCCTCTGCAACAGCAGCAAGTACTCTATTTAACCTTTGAGCCATCTCCCCAGCCTAAAGATGTGAAAAACAGAAGGTATTCTTCAAAATGTAAAGGAATAGTACTTTAGAGCGATAATAAGCCCAGCTGATATAAGTTTCTATATGGCCAGGCATGGTTATGGACATCTTTAGTCCCAGCACTTGGGAGTGTGGTGATATATTATGATTTAATAAAAGCTTGCCTGGGGACTAGAATGCAAAGCTAGCCACACTAGCTAGCCATAGAAGCCAGGCAGTGGTGGCACACACTTTTAATCCCAGGACTCAGGAGACAGAGGCAGATGGATCTCTGTGAGTCTAAAACCACCCTGAGCTACATGACAGTGTAACAGAGCTCACACCTTTAATCCCAGCACTAGAGAGGTATATGAGAAAGAAGCAAAGGGTTTCAAGTGAGATTCAGTTTCCAGTCACAGGGAAGACAGGATCTCCATTTCAGCCTTGGTAGAGGTAAGAGCTACTGGTTGGCTGCTTTGCTATTCTGATCTTCAGCTTGAACCCCAATATCTGCCTCTGTGTTCTTTTTATTCGTGCTACATGGGGGGTAGAGTTCCAGGCTACCTAGAGTTCTGCAGTCTCAACAAGAACAACAACAATGAAAGTTTCTATAAGCCAGTAGAGTTCTCCTTTCTATGAATAGGGCCACAAATGATTACAAACTAAAAACAGTATGATTCAGTAGGCAACACTGTTATACGTATCTATTTTGCGGTAAAATTGTACATGTAATACCACACGTTTCCAAGATCTTCCCGATTCTCTGGCCGAGCTTGATAGGCTGAGTAGCTGAAATCCACTAGGAGGTTGCAGCATCCCTAAAGCTCTGATTAGGCAACAATGTTTGTCTCACAAAACCAGCTCACCAGGTAGGAATTACTATGCCACCAACCACAAGCTCTGTAATTACTGGCAGCGCAGCTTTCAGAAAAAGACACAAGAGTCTGTGATTCAAGACTGAGCATGTTTGTGACAAAACTGCCCTTTACAGTGTTGTTTGCTACTAAGCTAAAATGTAAGCGATCCCGACAGAGACCCCTTCCAGCAGAGGTGATGAAAACCGTAGCTATTGTGGGAGATTAAGGACCCTTTGATCAAAACCAGAATGGACGACAAAATCAGAGTGGACGACAGACAGGCAGAGCTATTTCAGTTCGCTTTAGTAGGTTGCAAAAATTATTCAAGGGCGTGATTTAACTTTGAGAACTTTTAAAGGTAGAGTAGTATAGGATCTATAACAACCGAAACACAGCCTACACGTTCCGGCAACCTGGAATATGAGACGAAGTTTCTGCCAATGACGTGAAAGTAACATTTATGGAACACCTGATATGTGCGAAGTCATCTTTCAGACAAGAGCCCATGTAAGGACTTCTAAACGATGATGGCGGGTTTGGCCTTGTAGCTCAAAATAACACGTCATTCTCGGATTCCAAGTAAATAAGAAATACGCTCAATACGTGGAAGGGAGGGGCAGGTAAAAAAAAAAAAAGAAGGGGGTAGCAATAAGGGAAAGATACATTTAAAAAATTCTTAAACATAATTAGATTCTTTTTTGAAGTCAAACCTTTTCAACTCCACGGCTCAGAACAAACAAAAACTCAGGAGTGATACCTCCTGGAAACAGACAAACTTTAGCAATGAAATACAAGCAAGTCTCGTAACATCCGAAAACACGTGGCGGGGGAGGGGAGCTGGCGGCTGGACCAAGGACTCCCACTCCCACCAGCCCTTTCGACAGCCAAGCGAGGCTGTGGAGGGAGCGTCGGCGCGGGGCATGTCGGGGTTTGTAGTTTTCTCCCGGCACCTCCCCGTGGGTTTGCGACGTTTAGCGACTGTGGCGCCTGCGCGCGCTGGGCCGGCTGGGCTGGGGCCGTGGCGGCTCGTGCCGGGTGATGCTAGGCGTATCCCTGGGCTCCAGGCTGTTGCGGGGCGTGGGTGGCAGGCACGGGCAGTTCGGGGCGCGAGGTGTCAGCGAAAGTGGCGCAGCCATGGCGGCAGGGGAGAGCATGGCTCAGCGGATGGTCTGGGTGGACCTGGAGGTGAGAGAGTCCGGCTGGGGGTGCGGGGAGGCGAGCATGGGACCGAAGGACCCACCTGTTCTGGGAGGTGGCGGGGGTCCGGGTGTCAGGTGCGGCAGGTGAGCACGGCCCCGGGAGCCCGAGCCAGGAGTTCTGCGTGGTTCTGGGACTGTGTTGGACTGTGGGGTTTCTTTCCATCTGGGTGGAGCCATCCATGTGTCTTCCCTCTCCTTAGCCTGGACCTCCACCCAGATGTGAGCTTGCCTAACGCTCTGGTGTCTCTGGGCTCAGGATCAAGGGTGGGGGTGGGGACAGCGACTCTGAGCGCCCCCCCCGCGCCCCCATCTCCTAGCCTTATAAGACTAGGTTGCTTAAGCTAGTTGGGACTCAGGAGATGACTCAGCCTTACCCCTCATTCCATAAAAGAGAAAATTGAGGCCCCAGTTGAAGATTCAAGTTACTCAAAGTGCACTGGGAACCGAACCCTTTTTAGTTTTAAGGCATTCATACCTAGGCCTCCCTCGAGCCCCAGTTATTTGCTTACGAAAAGAGTTTAGTTGTTAACTTTTTATGCTAGATTATGATAAAGATCAGATGTTGGAGCAAATAGGAAACCTTTATAAACTTGTGATAGGTAATGTCGGTGAACTCACTTTTCTGTAATGAAGTGTTTGTGTTCTTCTTGCTTACTTTGTGTGGGTCCCCAGGACACACAGTTTGACAGTAGCTAGCCTACAGTAAGTGTCTGTAGCAGTCACTGAGGGAGCGCTGAGAACTTACTACCCCGAGTACTACCCAGGAAACATCATTACTGATCCTAGAATGTAAGCCGAGTATGCACAAAGGAATCTATTAAATAGACTTTGGCAGAAGAGGTTTACTAAAGATGGTTTCATGTGTTAATATGCTTATGTATGTATATATATTTTTTTATTTTGCAGATGACAGGATTGGACATTGAGAAGGATCAGATTATCGAGATGGCCTGTCTGATAACTGACTCTGATCTTAACATTTTGGCTGAAGTAGGTGATGCCATGTAAATACATTCATACCGCTTAAAGGGCATTGGGAATCTAAAGATGACTTCTTCCACTCTAATTGAAAATTTAGTGGATTGAGGTCCATGTAACTTAAGGTCTGCCATAATATGCTAGGACATGTTAGAGTTGGTACTAGAGCCAACATTGAGGTAGAACCAATTATAAGGTGGATAACCAGATTAATTTTTCAGTTGGAATTTATAGAAACCAAGCTGACTTTTTTCCGGGAGGTAAACAATCCTGAAGGCTTTACAGGTTGGTTCTTATGATGATAAGGTTGATTCTGTTAATGTTGCTCATTTTGTACCTGAACACATCACGTTACAGAAATTTGGGGGACTTGGTTAGGTGTTGGGAAAGCTGGTTAAACTACTCTCTAAACCCAGGCAGTGTCAAGTGCTCTAAGCAGTAGTCCAAACAGCTGTGGTCCTATCAGGTTTGGTGATCTCTGCCAGAGTTTTCCATCTTAATGTCCTAACATTGACTTTAATTCCGTATATGTTCATCCCCTCACCACTCCATAGGATATAGGTTCCAAGATTCCTCTACAGGGGCCAGAATCTCCTGTGCCTACATCCTTTACCTAGTGAGCACTTTGAATTGCCTCTAGATTGCCCGTTGTCATTCTTCCTCTAGAATACCTGATGCAGTGTCTGTGTGTGTAAGTAGTTTTTACACTGGGCATGGTAAGGAAAAAAAACCCATATACGTTCCTTTCCACCAGATGACATTAGGTCTGAATTGGTTGAATCCTCACAGACAATACCCATTGTTCCAAAGAGTTGATTGCCTTTTCAGCTAGGTGTGTGCTTCCTGTGTTAGGGTCCTAGCCTGTCTATTGGTGCACTGCTAGAGTGTTCTCTTAGTGATGTTATCAGCTATGATAAAAAACTTTGACCATTCTGCTTTTAACTGAAACATTCAGCAAAACAAGTAAAACACACCTGTTGGCATTTGTATTTTAGCCACTCAGGAAGCAGTTTAAAAGCTTGTGGTATCTCTAATCCATAGATGAAATCCCTGATCTTGATGGTGTCCTCAATATTTGAAGTCATTAGAAAACAAAACAGGCCAGGCATAGTGGCTCACACCTTTAATCCCAACACCTGAGAGGCAGTGGCAGGTGGACCTCTGTGAGATTGATACCAGCCTGGTCTGTATGGCTAGTTCCAGGCCAGCCAAGGCTACATTGTGGGGGTGGAGAGATGGCTCAGCGGTTAAAGCATGTGCTACTCAACCATGAAGAATTTGTGTCACAGTACCTTCCTTTGTCAGGTGTCTCACAAGCACCCATAACTCCAGCTCTAAAGGACTCGATGGCCTTCTTCTGGCCTTCATAGGTACCCCCACATATGTACACTTGGAATAAAATTAAACAACAAATAAAACAGTAAACCCATAGAGAGTAGGGACGCTGTGGAGAAGGGAGTCTTGTTGATATCAGGTTCTCTGAGGATAGACTGGATGGATACTGGAACTGTAGACATCTCCTAAGCCTACAGTTAGGACTTCTTTTTATTCCCTGGGCAGGCAAAGGAAATAAAGCATTTTTTAGCGGGGCATGATGTTACAAACCTTTAATCTTGGTACTTTGGAAGGCAGAAACAGACAGATCTCTGTGAGTTTGAGGTCAGGCTGGTCTACAGAGTGAGTGCCAGGTCAGCCAAGGCTACACACTGAGACTCTGTCTCAAAACAACGATGATAGTAACAAAAGAATTTTAAAACAAAAAGGAACAGCAAAGGACACTTAGAGATGAGTCCCTGTCTTGTGATGGCATCAGATGTATCATCTGGAAGAGAACCAGAGATTATTTCTTATAACAACTTCTTTAAAACCTGTAAATAAATAAACCAAGCACCAAACTTTAGGTTTGCTAGCTTATTTTTCTGATGTGGAACTTACTGGCAATAAACAGTCAAGTATCTTTATTTTACCAGCTCTGCTTAGTCTTGGCCAAAGAAGTATTTTTCTTTGAGACCCAAAGCACGAATTAATGGTTCAGTTGGTTGATATGTGCCCAGAGGAACTTCGGGTGTGTGTTCATATAGTTGCTCATGAATGGGGAGTTTGTTTGAAGGCTTAAGTCATATGAGGATGATGGTGTTAAAGAAAACAATTAAGGGATGCCACTTGTGTGGAAAGTATGTTCTATTCTCATGGAAGGGTCTGAGGGATGTGTTTGTTTGTCTGTTTGTTTGTTTTCTGCTAGAAGCATCCTGTTTTGCAAACTTAATTTAGATGTCTTAGTTTGCCAAGGGACAGTCTAGAAGAGGTCAGTAGATTTATAGTATGTCCTTTCTGTTCTTCAGTTTTTTTTAAGCTTTTTTTTTTAAATTTCTCCACCGAGATTGTCAACATCTGTCTTTGTATTTGGCTATAATTCAGTTTTAGACAGCAAGCCGTACAGTTCTAGACTAGCTGTTGAGTTTAAACTATAGGGGCTCAGTGGGACCCCGGCTTGCTGCCAGTCTTAGCAACCTGAGTTCAGTCCTTAAGAACCACTTGTTAGAAGGAGAGGAGCTTGTTCTCTGACACACACACACACACACACACACACACACGCACGCACGCACGCACGCATATACACACACACACTCATGAATGTGTTCCACTTAACATTCTTGCATACAAATAAAAACGTAATAAAATTTTTCAAAAAGGTGCTGATTAAACTTGAACTCCTTTCAGTGATTGAAATCTGTTTTTACCTCCTTCCCAGTGGTAATCCTTGCTTTAAGTAGCAGACAGTCTTCTGCAGAGAGTTCAGATAAGTTGCTTGTAGTTTCTTGCATTCTGTTAGGACCTATGAGGAAAGTTGGACTTTTTCATAACCTTTGCCTTTTGAGGATAAACCAAAGCGATTATTAGCTTAGCTGTCCCTGCCAGCTTCCCTGACAGATTCTATTGGCTGGACTGGAGGGCTGGCAAGCTGGCTCAGTGGGTCAAGGCGTTTGCGGCCAAGAATGATGACCTGAATTTGATCTCAGAACCCAGCTGGTAGAAGGAAAGAACTGACTTCCGCAAGTTGTTCTTTGACCTCCACACGTGTGCCGTGTCACGAGTGTGTGTATGCACAAGTGCATGTGTGTGCATACAGATGAAATTGAAGGGCCAGAGAGACGGCAGTTAAAGAACTGTATTGCTCTTACAGAGGACCTGAGTTCAGTTCCCAGCACCCATGTTGGGCAGCTCAGAGCTGCATGCACCTCCAGCTCCGGGGCACTGTGCTGTTTGGCCTCCAAGGACACCAGCACTCGCTAACACAGGCACACAAGCGTATTCACACCTAGAACTAGATCTTTAAAGGTGTTCTTAATTTAAAGAAATTCATACACGGAACTGAGAATTTGAGGGCCATTTCTTTTCTCCAGATATTACTTCTCTTTAAAAACATTAGCTTTTTAAATGTAAAACTAAAACTACAGAATATAACTTTATTCACAGTACATATATGGCAATCTGTTGTTTATTTGATCCTCTTCCTCAGTCCTGTCCTCTCCAAAGTGTTTGTTTTCTTCATGTTTTGTATGCAAATATCAATGCGTATTTTAAAATGAAAGGATGTCATTGGGGTAACTGCTTAGTCAGTAAAGTACTCATTGTGTAAACAGCACCCTGCGTTAGATCTTTACCCCTGTGTAAAAAGCCAGCGTGGTGCTGTGCATCTGTACTCCCGGTTGCAGGGAGTTGGAAACAAGTGACTCTTTGAGGGCTTGCTAGCTAGCCTAATTGGCAACCCCTAGGTCCCTCGGCGGATGGCTCCCAAGGAACAACATCCAAGGCTGTCCTCTGGCCTCACATGCTTGGGCATATATGTCCCTCTCCCTAATACACCCATAAAAATAAATACAACTTGAAAGTAGGGTTGTTTCTGTTGGTTCTTACATAGCTCTGCCTGGCTTAGAACTTGCCACGCAGACCCGGCTGGCCTCAAAGTCAAGGAGATCTGTTTCTGTCTCAGCCTCCCAGGTGCAGTGATTAAGGGTGTACTCCACTGTCCCCAGCTTCTGTTGATTTTCTCATGACTAATGGCTTTTCCCACCCACAGGGTCCCAACCTGATTATCAAACAGCCGGATGAGTTGCTGGACAGCATGTCAGATTGGTGCAAGGAGCATCATGGGAAGGTAACATTACCAAATGACAGGATTGCTGCTTTGGGGACCAGTCACAAGCTTGTTGCTCCCACATCTGAATGCTGTGCCCTTGGTGGATGGTGTTAGAGAAGGGTTAGAGGAAGATGGCTTAGCCAGCCTGGGCAGCTGCTTGCTTGGGCACTTTGCATCCTTGGGACCTCTCGAGATCACCTTCTCCTGAATGTCCTCTTTTTCTCTCTTCTACATTCAGTCTGTCGCGAACGCATTGTGGAATTTCAAGTGTTACTCAAGTCAGTCTTATGGATGAGGTTAGACCTCGACCCACAGAGAAAGGGGACTGCTGCTCTCCTGGTGGTAGCTGCCTCTTCCCAGAGCTTCTAGCCTTGGACTCTGAGCGCCATCTTTTCTGACTGTGTGGAAGGGTCACTGACAACCAGGAGCATAACTTAATTTGGTTTGGGTTCTTTAAGAAACAAAATTGGTGTAAAGATGGCAGGTTCCGTTCAAACTTGAGCCCCCTTTCCCCCCAAACTGGTCCAGCTGTGGTTATCTTTACCCATTTTAGAAGTGACGTTTCATTTCCGGATACTTTTGAAAACTGACTTGATGTGTTTCTGGTGGGGGCTGGGGATTCTCTCTTGCAGTCTGGTCTTACCAAGGCAGTGAAGGAGAGTACAATTACATTGCAGCAGGCAGAGTATGAATTTCTGTCCTTTGTACGACAGCAGACTCCTCCGGGGCTCTGTCCACTTGCAGGTAAAATCCAATCCCATGTCTACCTTGTAGATAGTCTTCTGTAGTAGTGGCTCAAGGAACCAGAGAGTCCCAGAGTTCCAGACAGACCAGCTGAGGCCGTCCTTGCCTTCCACCCACCCTGGTTCGGAATACACGTTTCACTTTTGTGTATCCGTGAAATGGCTTGGAACTTGATCTGAGATCTGGGAAACATAGACGGACTCAGCAACTCCCCCCCCCCCCCGCCCCATATTTTTATTATGGAAAAATTCCATATGCACAGAAAAGTTGGATTTGGTCATTGTTAGCCTTTGTCACATTGCTTTTTCCCTATATTTTTCTTGATGCTTTTGAACATTTGAAAGTAAATGGCAGGCTTTGTGATACTTCCTAAAGTCCCCCACAAGCAGCTCCTAAGAGTAAAGATGTTTTCTTATGTAGCACAGTGTTACTGTTGCATTGGAAGTCATTACTGCCACTTACGAATATCCATGGTGCCCAGCCCACATTTGAAGCACCCTAAAGTGTCTGTTTCTGAACCCAGATTTAGTCACTGCTCATATATATATATTTTGGTTATTTTGTCTCTAGTTGGTTAGTCTAAAGTCATTCACCTGTTTTCCCCCCACCCCTGCCCCACCCCTGTGACACTGACTTTAAGAGACCAGGCCTATTGCTCTAGGATTTTTTTAAAGGGTTAACATTGTCAGAGGGAAGGTAATGTTCTGTGGGGGGTGTTTGCATTTGTGTATGTATTTCTTTAAATACAAAGAAAAGTTTTGGCATTATATATAAGAGTATATATTGTATAAATGATTTTTTTCTTAGCCAATGTGGCTGATGTCTATTTTAAAGGTCTCATTTAAAATTCAGTGTTTATAATATAAATTATTGTATGGAAACATGGATATGGATATTATTTGTCAAAAATACTGGAATGTAAAATAAAGATTTATCTGTTATATGATTCAGTTAAATTTTTAGTGTTAGTATTGTGGATTTTGTGACACTGGGAACAAGTTTGCACATCTGGTTTAAACTTGAAAAGTAGCAGATTTAAACTCTTTAAGTGCATGGAATGCTAGCCGGTCATTCTGCCCACGAGAGGCCGCTTATGAGTTTGTTGTGAGCTAGACTGATGACTTTCTGGGAAATCCATATTTGTAACCTAATTTGAAGTACTCAGATTTGATGGATTCATCAGCTTTTAGGAACTGTTTGGAAAAAAATAACTTCCATTTCAAATATGCTCTATGAATGTTTGTGTCATGCTGTACACTGTTAGAAACACGCAGACGCGGTATGCTTCGTGTCTTTCTAGGGAATTCAGTTCATGCAGATAAGAAGTTTCTTGACAAATACATGCCCCAGTTCATGAAACATCTTCATTATAGGATAATTGATGTGAGCACTGTTAAAGAACTATGCAGGTAAGGGCTATATTTAGGATCCATTATATTGCCTCATGTAGCATGTTTTACTGGAGAATTTGTAGGAAATAATTGAATAGAATTGAGGGTGCTGAGTAGGTGTGTGTCTTCCTTGTCCCATTCTCATTTGTACGGGGTCCTTATTTATTCTGAGTGATGAAGCGTGGGAGAAATGTCAGAAGTCTTCCACACGGCTTTCATTAAACCAGAGAGCGTATGCATTGGCCTACCCACTGGGAAGGAACATGGAGATGAAAAGCTCTTGAGTAGCTAAGTCTAGTGGGTTGACAGAGGTGTGAAAAACACCCTAAAAATAAACTGCCTGGTGACTTGTGATGAAGAATACGTGGGGGCCAGGAAGAGCTCAGCATGCTGGAGGAGAAAGGGGGAGTTGGAGAGCTTTATCCTTCACACAGCCTTTTCAGTGAGATTGAAAGAGGCTTGAATGAGGAGAGAGCATTCCCGAATGCAAGCAGAGATAGGAGGAGGCTGAGGAATTGAGAGTGAAGACAAAATAGGCACGGGGTTGCTGGGATGTAGTACAGTTGGAATGTTTGCCTAACACGCAGGAAGTCCTGGCTTGGAGTCCCCAGCATGGCATACCCAGGATGTAGTAGTGCACACCTGTAATTCTAGCCCTTGGGAGGATGGAGGCAGGAGGATCAGGAAGACAGCTTGGACTACATGAGACCCTGTCTTAAATAAAATAAAAATTGTGTTAAAAAAAACTTACAGACTATTTGTTAATGCTGAGATGCAAAGCTTGAGACTGATAAAGATGAGACCAAGGCTGGACCATAAAGAGCTTGCGTACCTGCTTAAGATGCTTGATTTCATCCAATGAGGGATGCAGTTCCTTTGAGACAGTGTTAATGGAAGGATGAGAAAAAATCGTGTTCTGTTTAGAAGGTGGCAAGTGAAGTGGTAGTAGGAAAAGAGACATGTATCGACTGAAAAACCGAGTGAGGGAGATGACCATTGGGTACTTAGAAGGGATAAAACATTTGCCAGGATAAGCAGGCATGATGCCAGATGCTTGGATGAGGGAGTGAGGAAAGAGAAGTGGGAGAAAGGGTTAACATTTCTAGTTGAAGCACCTTAGGTGGATGGTGGACCTGTTCAAAAGAGGAGGAGAGACTACTAGGGTTGCATTTGAGGATGGAAGAGGAGGATGTGTGGTCTTCTATATATTAAATTAAAAGTGTGGTGAGGGCTGGGTGGATGTTAGAGACTTTGGAATCTGCTACATTGACAGACTTGTTTAAAGAACAGAAAAGCCTTTTCCAGTGTTAACTACTAATGCCTTGAAGAAATTGGGGGTTGTAGCTCAGTTTTTGAGCCTTGCTTAGTCTGTAAGAAGCCTGGGTTCACTTCCCAGCACCTCACACTAGGTGAGATGCCTGTTATCATAGTTCTCTGGAGATGGAGGCAGGAGGATCAGGAAGGCAGCCTGGGCTACCTGAGACCCTGTCCCAAACAGACAAAAGCCGTAGATAGATGACTTGAAGATGATTGCTTTGTGTGCTTGAGTCAGCTTCCTTTGAGAGTTTATACTTTTTACTGTGTATAGACGCTGGTATCCAGAGGATTATGAATTTGCACCGAAGAAGGCTGCTTCTCACAGGTAAGATCGGGACCTTCCGAAGACTGGCATACACTTAACTCCAACCTGACTTCTTAAATATTAACCTCTCTTTTCTATTCTTTATTGGGTAAAATAAAGTCATGGAAAGACAGCTTTCCGACAACAAGTCCCAAGGATTCTGGCTCGGCTACTAGGTTCAGTTCTCAATGGGGTTCTATCTTTGGGCTTTTTGCTTGTTTGTTTTTATTGTTTTGAGTTATATAGTTTATTAGTCTTAAAACTTGATTTAGAAGATGAAGCAATTTGTGATCTTGGTAGGAACTAGCACTGTTAGCTCTCTTCTCACAGAGGATGCAGGTATGTGGCCATCTGAAGTCAGGACATTGTAAACTCTTGTGTCAGCCAGTTGTCCTACCTGGATACTTTGGCTTTTTGGTGTGTATCAGTGCTTGCAGCTGCAGGCACACACTGTTTCTTTTAAATTTTGGATCCATTTAGAAAAAAAAAAGCTGACTGGTAAGGATAGGCCAAGGGAAGCATTTGGTTTGCTGATTTACTTAGTTGATAACACTGAATACTGATTTACTCATTGATATTCTGTAGTGTTCAGTTAGAGGCATCACAGAAAGACCTGAGCTAGAATGGCCTTCTATTGTGTTCACAGGGGGCATCCCAAAATGATAGTGTATTAATTCAGGTCTAAGAGACTTTATCAGAAACAATGGAGGTTTGGAATTTTTTGGAGTTTAGTCTTTTTCAGATTTATTGATCTTATTACATTATTTGCGTGTGCACACACACATACGTGCACATGTGCCTGCATGTATGTGTGACGATACAGAGGCAACTTTTAAGAATTGGGCCTGGGAGTTGAACTTAGGTTATTATATTAGGCTTGGCAGAGGTGTCTTTACTGGCTGGCTCATCTCACCAGCTCCTTTTCTTTCAATTTAAGAAACTGATAGTTACCCACATTGTTCATCATTATGTTTCTAAGTAGATTTGAAGAAAACCGGCCTCCGTAATACAGTAGAGAGATATGTCTACAAAGAAATGTGGCTATTCACACAAGATGGCATAAGTCATAACTGTATGTAAACTTAAGCCAAGATTGGACCTGGTTTTGCCACATAGTGGGTTCTAAAAGTACTTTAAGATTTCTGGTCTGCTTTCGATTTCAATATTGTGATAGGAGATTATGCATTGTTGGGGCTGAGGAGATACTTCACTTGGTAAAGCACCTACCTCACCATCAGAAGCACGAAGACCTAGGTTCAACCCCCCAGAATCCATGTCAGAATGCTAGGCGAGATGTTGCACCAGACATCCTTGGATGACCTCTGACCTACACATGCTTACACACATGTGTGTGAAGAAATGTGACCATGTGTTGTCATTTAACCAGAGGGGATATGTATGTATGTGTGTGTGTTGTGTATATATGTTTCCAAATAATATTTCAAATTTATTTTTGAGAGTATTAGACATATTTACAGTGTATCTCGATCATATCTACCTGTAACTCCCGCCTTTCCCGTTATCATCCCCCACTTCCCTCCTCCTTGAAATGTCTCCCTCCTACCTTTATGATTTTGAGGTGTGTGTGTGTGTGTGTGTGTTTGGTGTTGAGGCAAGATCTCTCTGTATAGCTCTGGCTGTCCAGGAGTTTGCTGTTTAGACTAGGCTGACCTCAAACTCACAGAGGTCTGCTTGCCTCAGCCTCCCGAGAGCTAGGATTAGCAGTGCACGCCACCACTCCCGTCTTCCTTTTCTTTTTTGTATAACCCACAGAGTCTAGGTAGTGCTGCCTGCATGGATGTGGGGCCATCCATCAGACTGTGGGTGACCCCTGCCATGAAGAACAATGGTCCCCCACCCCAGCAGCCATCACTTGCCAGTAGCTCTTTACTTGCCAGTAGGGGTTGGAGGCTATATTTTTGAGTTTGAATCCTCTACCATACCTATGTGATTTAGGAAGAAAGTGGATTATTGCCTTTGTCATGGAAATGACTGACTTAAAACTCCAGCACTGATGGTTGTACAGTGAGTTCTCTAGAAGAGGCCCTTAGCCCACCACAGTGTATTGATTTACTTGCATACCATTTTAATAATCTTGGTTCCCTGATTTCTCAGGCTTCAACAGCTGAGAAACAGCATGTTGGATAAGAGAGGCTGTTAGTTAAATGCAGGCTGCCAGTGATCATAGCACACGTTACCACAGAGGGGAGGCAGAGCCTCCTTCATGGTTAGGTACCCTTTGATCTGATAATTGGCATCCATTAGGATGACTGAATCATGAGCTGCGGTGAGTACCTAGGTCTAATCTGTTCAGGGACATCCCTGAAGTATTGCACAGTGTTTCCCAGGCTCTGTCTGGTTCTCGTGCTGCTGGTAAGTATTCCATGAATGTGGTTTGTTACATTGCAGAAATATTATATGTGTAGTACAGGTTCTTCTTAGGAATTCATATACATATTAAATTAGTAAGCTTGGACAGAGCCTCATAAAGGAAGTGGTTAACCTAGCTTCTCTGTAAAGTCAGATGACCCTGAGATCCCCTTCACTCCAAGCACACCGTAGTCATCTGAAACTGTGGGGTTTTTTTAATCTCCTCCATGTAAAGTGTAAAATACAGCGAACACTGGCACTCGTGACTTAGTGCCACCGCGTGTTCCTCTTCTGTCCGTACCAGCCGTGGCATTCACACTAACCGGTTCCGAGGTTGTTATAAGAAGTCACGATTTTCATCTCTAGTGTTTGGGGCATTTTTTTTTCAGTGTGGTGTGTTTGCTTGTAGGGCACTCGATGATATTAGCGAAAGCATCAAAGAGCTTCAGTTTTACCGAAATAACATCTTCAAGAAAAAGACAGACGAGAAGAAGAGGAAAATTATAGAAAATGGGGAAAATGAGAAGACTGTGAGTTGATGCCAGTTTTCAAGCTGCACAGCTGCCTAGTTCTCCAGAAGTCACTTTAGTGTCTCTTCCCTGCTGATAACTCAGCAGAACACCTTTTCTAAAGAAAAAAAATTTTTTCCAGTTAACTTTCCATCTCCAGACTCCTCAAGCAGACAAGACATCACTGTCTGTTTCTTCTAACCTGCTGTTTGCATTATGACACAGCAGCAACTCCTCTGTAAGCTTCAGGCCACGCCCACCCCCTCAGTCCATATCTGCACTTGCTTATAGGCCATTCCTTTTGTTTGAAAATAAATAATAAATAAAGCTAGTTCTATTGAAATGCAACCCTTTCTGTACCATCTATTTATTCTTCAGTAATTCAGTTGGTGGGGAAAGGTGTTTTTGTTTTATTTATTTATTTAAAGTAGTATGGCTAAGGCTTACCTCTCAAAACATGGTTGGATTAAGTTGTGTGTTTCAAACAGGAAGTGAACATTCTCTTTGTTGCTTTGCATATCAAGAGTTGGGTAAGGAGTTGGGTTATAAGAGGATTGGGGTTCATCGATATCCAATTAACAGCTCTGGGATGGTCCACTCTCCACCATGGTAAGAAAATCCAGGTAAGCACACAGGGTTCTGTAAGCAGTCCTGAGGTTTTTATTGACTAGAAAATACGGACAAGGCAGTCACTGTGTCAGGTTTATAGACCAAAGCTAGTCTGTCACCTTTGTTAGGTAGCCAAGGAGGGGTTTCAGTGTAGATAAGCTAACTCTCCAGTTTAGTTTCTCAAGACCACAGGGGCCACAGGGCCATAGAGTCATCTGTAGAAGTATCCTAGATTCTTTGGGCACCTCATTCTGACAGACAAGTTCCTAAAGGCTATTAGATTTGGGAAAGGCCCGGGAGTAGTGTGCCTCTCATCAAGAGACTTTGTGATACTCTCAAGGTACATGCTACACAATTCGTGCATTAGCAGAGTAGTGTGGTCCTGATGTGTGCTAGTTACTCACGCAGAGAGCCCTAGGCTGTGGACCTGAGTAGTCCTGCTATCTTCACTGGGGAAACACTGTACTGTGTGCTGAGTTATATTTCCTAGACATCTTTGGGGAGAGAAATGGAGATTTTAGTGGAACTTTTGCCAAATGAACAAATTCAGCTTCAGGTTGTTCGCATATCTAATAAAAGTTTGAGGGGCTGGAGAGATGGATCAGTGGTTAAGAGGCCACTCTTCCAGAGGATCTGGCACAATTTCCAGCGCCTATAGGGTGACTCACAGTTTTTCTAATTCTAGTCTCAGGGAATCTGATGCCCTCTTCTGGCCTCTGTGGGTACAGCATGCATATGATGCACAGATCTGCATTCAGGCAAACATTCATACACATAAAAAAATGTTTGAGTAGAAACAGGTTGGAGAGGTGGCTCAGCAGTGAGCAATGCACACTACTCTTGCAGAGGACCTGAGTTTGGCTCCCAACACCCTTGTGGATCGCTCACAACCACCAGCAAATCCAGCTCCATGGGATCCAATGCCCTTTTCTGAATCTTGAGGCCACTGGACATAGACACACATGCAAAGTTTGACTAGATCAGTGGTTCTCAACCTGTGGGTCATGACCCCCTTTGGGATTGAATGACTCACAGGGGTGGCATATCAGATATGTACATTATGATTCATAACTAGCAAAAAGACAGTTCTGAAGTAGCAATGAAAATAATTTTGATTGGGAGGTCATTAAAGGGAGACAGCATTAGGAAGGTTGAAAACTATTGGACTAGATGAAAACTAAAGTTTATAGCTGTATGTGACCCGCGTTATTTCTGTTCTCTGACATGGATGCAATATCCATGTTCTGGAAGACCAGATTAGGTAAGTAGAGTTAGGTAGGGCTTCTGTCTCAAACTCTGGATTCTTTTTATTTTAAGATTTATTTAGAATATATACAGTGATTTATCTGCATACATGCCTGCAGGCCAGAAGAAGGCATCAGATCTCATTAAAGATGGTTGTGAGCAACCATGTGGTTGCTGGGAATTGAACTCAGGACCTCTAAAAGAACAGACAGTGCTCTTAACCTCTTTGCCATCTCTCCAACTCCCAGAACCTCAATTTCAATGTCTGTAAAGGGAGGTTAATGATACCCAAATCAAAGAGTTGTTAGAATAAAGTTGAATGCTGTGGTTAGCAGGCTGAGGTTCTGCCTGTGACACAGTAACTACCTATAGTGATAGCTACTAGTACTGCTGAGGGAGGCTTAGTGTTTCCACCTAAAATTCGCCACAAAGTCTTTGCTGTTACTTTATTCCTCAGAAACGGTGCAGATTCTAGTGCAAGAGTAGGTGCCAAGACACCAGGAACCAGACACTACTAATGTAGCAGGATTTCTCCACCCACTGACCAACTGGTATTCTCATTGGTTTTAACTATTTGAAACATTAACTTAAGAGCACAAATGGCCACCTTCCTGACTTTGTCCTCTGTCCTGTATCTTTATTGTTTAGTAGAACCCTGTCACCTTGAAGTGAAGCCCGTATTACATGCAGTGAAAGGACAGCCAGTCTTGGCCTGATTCAAGTTTGCATAAAGACATGATGGCTTGATGACTACTAGTTCATTTTTTTTTCACTCTGCTTAAAAAATAAGGAGTTGTGTGGATAGTGCTAGCACTTTGGGTTTCTTAGGGGATTCCTAAAGCTGTGAAGTAATTTCCATGACATGAACTGCAGTGCAAATTGGTTTAAATGTAACTTCGGCTCAAAAACCTATCAGCCTGTGTTGCCTCACAGAAACTGCTACTCTTGGGGCCTCTCACTGGTGGTTCTGTCTGAGTAGTGATTATACTGCAAGCTGTATTCCTGGGGTGATTAGGTGTACTTACTCTCCTGCAGAAAGCTCAGGAGGTGACAGAAGCAGCACCAAATGATAATCTCTAGCACTTCAGTCATTGTACTGTGTGGCAAGAAAGACCCCCTTTCTCCCAACAGTGTCTTCAAAGAGATAAGACGCCGAGGAGTGCTCTCATTTACAAAACAGTACATCTGTTCAGAAAATAAAACCAACCAGACAACAAGCTGACAAATGCAAAGAAGTTAATCATCGGCATTTTTTTTTTAAAGACAGGGTTTCACTATATGGCCCTGGCTGTCTTGGAACTTACTGTATAGATCAGGCTGACCTTGAACTCACAGAGATCTGTCTTTGTCTACTTCCCAAGGGCTAGGATTAAAGGTGTGTGCCGGCCACAAGGCCCGGAAAAACCAGACTTCTTATATATGTGAGCTGTAAAGGAAAGAAAAATGGTAGCTAGTCACACCAAGTGCAGGTTTGTCACATTGGCCACCTTGTGGTTGTGTACGAGTGTCCCAGGCTCACCCAAATAGCCTCACATTTTGGATAATGGGAAAGCAGTAGAGACGGTAGAAAATTGGTGGTTGCTACGATAAGCCATATGCAGCAGATTAATGATGGCAAAAGCCATTATATTCCATATCTGTTGATGAGGGCAAAGGCAATTAGACTGTATTTATTGCTATGTGCTGTGCATCTGTTATGAAGATTAAATTGTAGAAACTTAAGCAAAGCCTTTCCTTTGTGTGTGTGTATGTGTGTGGCTTATTTTAAAAGCAAAGAGAGCCCAGTAAAAATGTATACGGGAGGCCCCCTTTGGTTGAGCATCTCCTGTCAAAGTAAAGGGTGATTGGCTTCCAAAGCTCTGCAAAGGTAAGGATTTGTCTGCATCCTATTAGAAAGCAGGCTGATTCAGCAAGTTGAACATGGAGAACCTGAGACATGGCTTAGTCTTCAGGGTAATTTAGTGAGCTTACTTTTTGCATGTGTGTTGGTAATTTAGGGTACAGTAAACAAAGGCATCTCTAGGGGAACACATGCTAGGAAATGGGGAATTTGAGGGTGGAGCACAGTGTTCTTGTGCAAATGAGAGCATTCCATGAACAAGCTTTCCATGAACAGCCCACCAGGTTCCTTAGGGATCCAAGACAAAATTATATGACTTGCGTCATATAACCCTATGAATATGTTCTTACTGCTCTGGATCAGCACACTTACATGTGACAGAAATGGCAAATTTTATTACACCCACTCACATCAAATGTGCATAATTCATCATGAATTGTTTTAGGAATGATCCTGTCTTAGGGCTGGTGTGTAATGGAAGCAGCTTGCTGGAGCTGAACATGGCAACCCTGACTTGTGTTCTCAAGAAAACTTACATCCTTCTGATTCTTTATCAGGAACAGGAAGCAGACAAGGTATGGCTCGGGGCAGGGGAGGGGGTGCTTGCCTTTCTGCCAATGTCAAAGGGATCTAAGGAATTGATGTTTAACAAGATGAGGGACGGTTAGGAAAATCCCATTCTTCAAGGTGTCCAACTTCTGTACCCACTGAGGTGGAGAAGGAGATGCCTCTGAGTTGTGTATATTGGATAGTCTGGATGAATTCCATTTAGTAGCTTACAAATTATGGAACAATCTAGTTACAGACATGTATAATGTGAAATGTCTTTAAAATTGTGTGTGTTGCACGTGTACTTGTGTGTGCTGGTGCCCCATGAATATGTGCAGAGGCCAGTGGAAGCCACACACAGTCCGTCCTGCTTTATCAAGCATTCTCTGCCTTATGACCTTGGTATAGGATCTCAGGGAACCTGGCAGTCAGCGTGTCCCAGAGATCCTCCTGTTTGCACCCCTCATAATCATGGTGGCAGTTGCACATGTAAGCACTCCTACCCACTCGTCCCTCAAATCTTATACTTTCTCTCTCTTAGTTGTATTCTGTTCAATCACCTTTTCTATATATTCTTTTTCATCTTAGAGGTTCAAAGATACTTGGCTATTGCCAGGGTCCAGCGTGAATCAGTCCTATGATGCAGGGGCCATTTATTCTGGACTGATATCTTTGGGGCTGTGTTTGGAACCAGCCGAACAGCCCCTGGTCCGACCCTGAGTGGGGGAGTGTGGATCAGTGATGTCCTAGTTACTCAACAACGTTAAGAATGAGACAGAGACATCTTGTCATTTCAGGAAGGCTCTCAGTCCACACTGGAGACCACAGTTTATTCAAGCATCTTCTTAAATAGCTTTCCAAGAGCGGGATGGGAGTGGGTGGGGGGTGTAACTGGCAGAAGACATCTATTATCATGTATAGAGCTGATATCAAATATTTCCTTTAATCCTGTAGACACCCCTAAAACTGCACGTCCTCACTAGCCTTCTGGGATGTCCCACTCATCCCCAGGCACATCTCTCTAGTCCTCAGGATGGTTGTGGGTCCACCCAGGGCCCAAGTCTATTGTTACACAAACTAGATCTCATTCTCCACTGTGGCCAGG